AAATATTCTTAAAATAAAGAGTTAATACCTGCCTTTTTTTTTTTTACCAGCAGGTGTTGCCCTCATTTAAAAAAAAAAAAAAGTAAAAACTTAGGCAAAGCAGACTAAACAAAACTTCCAGCTCTCTGAAACTTTTTTGAACTCTTTAGTTAGTAAATGGTTTTGATCTTAATTTTTATTGTTTTAAATATTTATTCATTTTTAAGTTTTAGGTGGACACAGTATCTTTATTTTACATTTATGTGGTGCTGAGGATCGAATCCAGTGCCTCGTGCATGCTAGGCGAGCACTCTACCACTGAGCCACAACCCCATCCCCTAATTTTTACTAAGTAAAACAAATGATTGTTGACCATCCATAAACCCAGTCAAGTTAAACTGATTCCCACAGCTTTGCTGTGTTTTGCTGCATGGAAACACTGATGTGTAGAAAGATAGTTACATTGAAGCATGGCTTTAGATCCAGGTTTGTGTGAAGAAGAGAAACATTAGGATTGCTTGGATACCCCATTTCTTCTTGTTTTTAAATTTTATTATAGGTTATCTTATTTATTTGGGCAGGAATAGATTCAGAAATTTGGATCCAGAAAGAGTATGTGTCTAATCCAAAATCACTCATTTGATTTATCTGCATTATGAGAATAGACCCAAATTTTGAGATGCTTCACTTTTCATTTGAGATGTGCTAGGTGGCTTCTAGTTTCAAAGGTCTGAAAAGTACTGGCTTAAATTACAGCAGGTATATAACTTCATCACCTAGAAGAGACCCCCAGAAGGGGGTGGGGTTGTGGCTCAGTGGTAGAGTGCTCACCTAGCATGTATGAGGCCCTTGGGTTTAATCCTCAGCACCACATAAAAATAAATAAATAAAATAAAGGTACTGTGTCCAACTCCAACTAAAAAATAGACATAAAAAAAAAGAAGAAGAAGAAGAGACCCCAAAAGTACAGCTCAACCAGGTCAGGATTCATGGTTCCTGCTCACTGCTTTGCTGTGTGAGAGGTCTGTTCGCTTTCCTCAGGGCCCAAGAGGACCTCTGTTCTCCCAGCCTGGAGCCTGGCATTCGGGCAGCTGGAGACACTATGAGGTGGTATGAGGGAGACTCGGCATACTGGGCTTGTGTTGTGCTCCAGGGGCCCTTGGTCTTTTTGTTAATTTAACAAATGATATTCTTCTCTTTGTGAGACAATATGCAGTGCTTGGTGTGGCATGTAGAGCTGTAAGGGAAAAACCTCTCACCTTACACAGTGTGATTATTCACAGCTGCTGTATTCTGAGTCTCTGCTTCAATTGCAACCTTTAGAAAAACAGAATTATTTAAATATAACATATTTCTAAGAAACTAGCTTAATTGATCTCTTTCAAGAAGACCTTGCTGCCAGGCATGGTATCGCTCTCCTATAATCTCAGACACAGGAGGGATTCTGAGTTGAAGGCCAGCCTGGACAATTTAATGAGACTGTCTCAAAATTAAAAAATAAAAAGAGATGCAACTCAGCGGTAGAACTTCCATGGGCTCAATCCCCAGTACCAAAAGAAAAAAAAAAAAAATTCCAGCTGTCATTTCTGGAGCAACAGTGTCTAACAGAAATTATAATATGAGGGCCTAAATGGAAGCTGAGTGGTAGAGTGCATTTTTAGCATGTGCAAGGTCCTGGTTTTAATCCCTAGCACTACAAAGAAGAAAACAGAAAAGAAATTCTGTTTAGGCTGGGTGCTATGGCGCACACCTCTAATCCTAGCTATCTGGGAGGCTGAGGCTGGAGGATCATTTGAGCCCAGGAGAGTTCAGCACCAGCCTGAGCAACATAACAAGACCCCATCTCACCAAAAAAAAAAAAAAAAAAGTGAGCCAGGTGAGTCTAGTAGTAGCATCATTAAAAAATAACAGGTGAAGTGATTTTTTACAGTTCTGGGGATTAAGCCTAAGACACTTAAGCCTTGCACATGCACCCTGCCACTGAGGGACTAAAGTTACTTTTAATATAAATGTGTTTTTATATCAGTATATCCACAGTACACCATTTAAGCATTAAATCAATATGAAAAATATTTTTATGCATTTTATATTTCATATTTATTTGTATATTCAATATTTTTCTTTTTTTTTTTTTTGTCTTAAGTCTTCAAAATCCAGTGTGTATTTCATACTTGCAGCACATCTCAATGTGGACATCCAGCACTGTTAGTAGCCATGTGTGGTTAAAGACCACCACATGGTCATCTTTCCTCTCCATCCTTGTCTTAAGATTTCCACTCAGTCATCCATGTTTGGAAAACTACGTGTCTTTTAGTACATATCAATTAATTTCCCAATTAACAGTTGGTGTATTTAGGTGAGAAGCCATCGCTCATGCATCAGTACCTTCCTACAGCAACCAGCATGGGCCTGGCTTAGTGCCAGGACATTCTCGTTCAATCTCATTAGGTTTGGTTTGAAGAGAGACACTTCTAAGCAGCCCTGGAGACTGGACTTAGAGAGGGAGACAACTCTGGGGCAGTATGTGGGCTTCAGTGGCACATAGAGGAGGGTGAGAGCCATGAGCATGGATGCCCACTCCTGAGTCACCCCAGGCAGGGATGAGAACAAAGGTGGCAGGGCCAGTGAAGCAAAAGGAGTCTTTGAAGGACATAGGAAGGGGTGGGCAGACCTGTCTGAAATAAAGGTATTCCCTTGTGCATGGGACTCAGTGCTGAGATGGAGTAAAGCACCTGGGTTTCTAGGAGAAGACCTAACATGGCCAAGCTCAGTGGCTCCTGTGTGTTCTTGATGAAGAGGGTTGCCTCCTTCTCTTTTCATTTAGCGATTGTTAAGAACATCCTCACGAGTGCAGAGGGGACATGGAGCTGACAATTATTTTTTCATATTTATTTATTGATCTTGGGGATTGGACCCAGGGACACTCTACCACTGAGCTATATCCCTTTAGCAGGGATTAGATTTGAGCATGTTGAAGTGCTGATGAGAAAGAGCCAGCTGCAGTCGCCAGACAGCCCCCCTCCAGTGAGTGGTAGGAAGTGTGCTTTCCTCCACCCTCCCACACACTCACAGGTGACGGGATTTTTTTTGTACACATAGTGACATCTCTGTCATATTAAAGCTCTGGCTAGAAAAAAAATATAAAAGCTTATGAAGGAATAAATCCAAGACCCACTCTTGTGCTTTGTTTCTCTGTGTCTGCTCTGGAGGTAGCTGTGAGTTGGATTCTGGAGCACATGTTGCCTCCCTGATCCTAACTGGTTACGAGATGTACTGGTATCCCATATACCACTAAGAAAGAAGAAAAATGCTGCCAGTGAACTGACACCTCACGGATTGCAGGGCACATCCCAGCATAAGTGATGTGAGTGAAGGAGGAAGTGCTTCAGCTTCCAAGTTGAAAGGGCAGTTGACACTTGGGACTGATATACCGTGGTGGCAGCACTTGAGGAGGTCTTTGCTGGATAGCTATCTGGCTTCTATAGTGTAAAGTCAGGTTTATCGTGGGGCATGGGAAGAGGCTGGGCAGAGGGGTGGTAAAGGCATGAGAGGCTTGACTGGAAGGGTTTGAGTGAATTGTTGACCCAGGAGCATACAGGATTGGGGGGAAGCACAAAAGGCAGGGACCATGCTTTCAGAGCAGCACTGAACTGCCTGGTGGCTGAGCTTTCTTGAAGAGATCTGAATCAGCATAGAGTAGCAGACAGTGACTTCTTTCAGGAGGAAGGACTTGCCAGGCAGTAGTGACAGAAAGGCGGACAAAGGCCTCAAGAACACTGAGAGGCAGTGTAGCAGTCATCTGGTGGACCATGGAGTTCACATTGTGAGACAAAAACTGGAGACTAACCGGAGCTGGTAATATAAAGAAAAACAGTAACTTTTCAGAACCCCCCACTGTGGACTTAAATATTTTTATGTTACTTGTTCATTAAAGATATACACTGAACTATGTATAAACTCATTTTGTACATGAGATTTTATTTTACTCAGCCACACAACCAAGGATGTTTTAGAGGGTGTGGTAGCTCATGCCTGAAGCAGAAAGATCACAAGTTTGCAGCCAGCCTGAGCAACTCCGCAAGACCTTGTCTGAAATTTAAAATAAAGGGCTGGGTGTGTAGATCAGCAATAGAGTGCCTCTGAGTTAACCCCAGGTCTGTTTTTAAAAAAGAACCAAAGACAATAACATGAAAAATGTGATGTCCTGGATAGTAGTGTCGGACATTCAGGAGGAAGGCGGGCCCAACTGTTGGGGCTTAGGTTCTTTTGTGCCTGGCATGGGCATGCAGGTCATTAACCACTACACAATCCAACCTTTGCCTTGGGCATGCTTGTGATTATTAGCATGGTTTGCAAAGTAGCTAACTGTCTCCTTTTCCAGTGAATCTGGCAATGCTGTAGATGGTATTCCCACAAATGCTGACGCTGAAATCCAGTGCTGTTCAGCTTTAATTGTTCATATAGCTTAGAATGCACAATAACTTATTCATTATTATTAGAATTAAAACAAAAATAAGTTCAAGGACACCTTGAGGATCCTGTGATTTGTATACACACTGAACTAGCAGTGGTTCTTGAAGGGTTGTCTACGAGCCAGCAGCAGCATCACCTAAGAACTTGCCAGAAGCTCAGGTGCCCAGTTTCTCCCCCTCCTCCAGCCTACTGCATCAGAAGGTCTGTGATGTGGGTAGGGGTAGGAGACAAACTGGCTGGGCTTTAACACCCTCTAGAGGTGATTCTGTTGAAAGCAAGTGTGAGAATTGTGTTTAATCTGTTACCCTCCTTTTACAGATGGGGACACTAAACCCAGAGCAGCTAGCCCGAGATCTCAAGATGACAGTTCATTTGTAGGAAAACTGGGTTCAAAACTGCAACTGCAGGCTTTAGTCCAGTTCTGTTTCCAAAGCACTGCATTGTCATTTTTTTCCTCTGGTATTTTTTGTTTGTTTTCCTTGGTTTGGGTTGTATTTTAAGAAGATACTATTAAAGCTTTGGGTTCTTTTTCCTTTTGTTCTTTTTAGTGCCAGAACCTACTAAGACCTGTTCAAGCCAGCTCCAACCTGCCGGTACCAGTACCAGTACTTCCACCAGCACTATCTCCAGCAGCAGCAATGGCAAACGTGCATCTGCCGGTGGCCAGCAGCCAGCTGCATCCCGTTACCTGCCTCGAGAGGTGCCTCCACGCTTCCGCCAGCAAGAACAGAAGCAGCTGTTAAAGAGAGGCCAGCCGTTACCTACAGGGACTCTGACCAGTGTGAGCCCAGCACAGGTTGCTGGTTCTGCAGGGACAAGCCCTCCCCCACTCCCTGGAACCGGGTCGCAGCAGCATTCCAGCAAGCTCCAACCAGGTAAAAAGCAAGGGAGTAGAGTTTTTTGTTTTTGCAGACTAAGGATTGAACCCAGGGCCTTGTGTGTGCTAGATACATACTCCACCATTGAGCCACACCCTCAGCCTGAGGCTGCTGCTTTCTTTTTTTTTTTTTTTTAAATACCTTTATTTATTTTTACATGGTGCTGAGGATCAAACCCAGTGCCCACACACATTGGGTAAGTGCTGTATCACCGTGCTACAACTCCAGCCCCAAGCCTGAGACTTTTTATGTGAGAACTCTGCTCTGAGAAATAAAAATAGACATATTTTGGTGTATGTTCACTATATACTTAGTAACAGAGATAGACTGATTGATATCAGATTTGAAAGTTTGTATTTACTTCTCTTTATCCTGGTATTTCCTTGTATCTGAAGATATCATTAACTTCTTTGGCTCAACTGCTCTCTCACCAGAAACTAAAGGACCATGTGACCCTATCAAGGCAATGCTGAAAATCTATGCACTGAAAACCTTTCCCTTTGCAGCGAGGCTGTCTCTGAGTATGCACATGCCTGAGCCCTGCGGCCCGGGGTTCTGCTCCAACTACGTCATGCTGCTTCCCTGCCCACGTTGTCTGGCAGCTTTTTCTTGACTCCCAGAAAAAACTGCCATGTGTCCCTTTGCTTTCCTGCTGCCGAGATGTAGCTGTTCCTTGTCTCAGCTCCTGTCTGCTCCTTCTCCAGTCTTCTGCATTTTATGATTTGTACTTTTGAGAAATTTCTTTATTATAGTTTTAGGGAATTTTGGGGAGAGAGCAAAGTATTTAAGTTCAGCTGCCATGTTTCTCTTTTATTTTCTTAACTTTTTTTAAAAAGTAATTTTAAATGCTAGTTGATGTCCCTTCTATAGTAGATAACACGCTTGCTTATAGTTATGAAATTCAGGTCTGTAATTAGATAAGCAAATAGGCTTTCATGATTGGAGTTTAAAAGAAATATGTCACAGGTCATATTAATACTTGTTTTCTTTCATGTGCTACCTTTTATAATAGGGAATAATGCCAACATAACCTAAAAGTATTTAGCAGTGTTTTTCAAAACTGTGACTTTGTGGTATGTTTGAAATGAACATTTTAAGATAACTCTGCCATATCTCTTCAAATAGCCTTGACTTTTATCTGCTAAGCAACTGGTAGAGGGGAGGTAGACCTATGATTGTCACCAAAAAGCAAGACAATAAAGAAAAAGTATGTTCATTGATCATAGTCCCATCTGTTTAGCTGCAAACACTTAAATCAAACATGCAAATTACTTTCAGAAATGCCATCATCTTCAGGATAATCTTAACCAAGATCTGCAGTCAGATCTAAATAGGTTAGTGAGTTAAGGTGTTTAGTGTGAAAAACTGGATAAGAAATGTAATAACCTTTCTCTGCACCTCACTTGGATGCGCTTACTTGACTATTTTGCATCAGGTTCCTTCTCCTCAGATGCTATTGGTGCAGGATGTTCCTGGTACCTCTTACATAAAAGGTACAGCATCATCAAGGATTAATTCCATAAAATTTTGGTGCAAAAATAATATTCTCTAATAAACTTTTTCAGGACTGAAGAGCACTTGTCTGGCATGTATAAGTCACTGGGTTCCATCCCCAGCATCACAAAAAAAGAAGAAAATGAAGAATTATAAAACAGATTTTTTCTAAACATAACAACTTTATCCAAGAAAACATTTCTAGTTTATAGTCCTTTTAATATATATACACACACTAATTTCCATGCACATATATACTCACATACATATACACATACATGGCTGGAGGTGTAACTCTTTGGTATAGGGCTTGCCTAGGGTGCATAAGACAAGACCCTGTGTTCCCAGCACCACAGCATCACAGCATCACAAAAAAATGAATAAATAAAGATTTGAGAACATAAACCCTTTTTGTGGAGAAAATAAACTGATTCTTGGTCTAAACAAAAGTATTCCTTTTTACACCATCTCTCGTCCCCACACTCTCTGGTGTCAGCATGTAAATCTTCCCCACAGTTCACCTTTCATTGATTTGAGACATTCCCTCAGCACCCTGCCTCTTCCTAATGCACAAACTCTGTTTTCCTGCCCTTGCAGCTTGTCTGATCAGCCCTTCCCTCCTCTTTTCCATGCCCACTTTCTGTCCTAAGCAGACTGTTTGTGGGCAGTGCATGGGGGTTGGTGCTGGCACATCTTCCCCATGACAAGTTCACTGCCCAGCTTCTTAAGTCTCTGGCCTTCATGGCTCACCATACTGTATAATCTGCATCTTTTGGTGATTAATTCATTATTCTCACCTCTCCATTAAATCAAAAAGACGCTGTAAGGAAAAGTATCTGAACTTTCCATTGTGTAACTAGCTTAGCAGAGAGAAAAGGCTCTGAACTGTGGGTAAGACCTAGAAGCTAGTACTGGTGATGCCCCCAACTAGTACTTCATGTCTCTTAGGAAAGGTCTGCATCTCTTGTGACCTCTACTCTCTAAGGTCCCTTTCCTTTAAGTTATGACTCAAACACTATTCTGGAGAGCTTATTTGAGGTCTGTGGTAGGTATTGCTGGATTGCCATTGCATTGTGGGCTCATCCTGGAGATTGTAGCGGCATGTCAGTGTGCATGGAAGGAGCATGCAGAGTGTTAAGAGACCAAGCACATCCTCTGTGTCACTTTCACTCTCTGAACCCTTCATCTACCCAGTGAAGAGATTACTACTTGGCAGGATTTTAAGATGAGGTATGCATCTCATACTCCATGTAGGGCCTTGCCTATTGAGTTATTCAGTAAATGCAGCTGAGACTTGGGACTAGTGACACTTTGAGATGTGAAGCAAGCACATACCATCTTGGAAGTGACTACATTCTAAAATACTGTAGTAAAAAGAAAAAGTGAAACAGTGCAGTAAAGCTTTCTCACATGGTACTTTGGAATTTCAGCTGTTCTCCTTAGAGTTGAATATTCTATAAACTTTCCTTTTCATGGTACAAGTCACTTAATGACTTCAAATCCAGGTGAAATTGTATGAGTACTTTCCAGAAGCATAGCCAGTTGCAGTGAAAAATTTTTTAGGTACTGCTTAAAATAAAAGCTCTTGTAATTTTTTTGAAATTATTTTCATGATATTTTTGTAAGCAGGTTCTCATTCCTGCATTAAAATGACAAGAGTTTCTTTCGTAAGTATGTTCCTCTAACTCTAAGGTTACATTAAACAAAGTATGAATGCCAGGTCAGCAGAACTAAGAGCAAGGCAGGCAGGCAGGGTGAGTGACTAATGCTGAGGAATTTCAACAGCACACCACTCCTAATGAGAAGAAAAGCAAACCTGGGAGTTTTTTCAACCTAGTTTATCGATTGCTGTGTTTTTCCCAAGTGGGTCTGTATGTGAAATCTTTTCTCTCTCAAGTTTTAGTGTTCTTTGGAAAGTCAGAGAAGGTAGAATATCCTCTGGAAGGAATTGATGGAGTTCAGGTCACCTTTATCGTAGTTTTTAAATGTTGCTAGAAGCCCAGAGGGGCTTCCTGATCTCCTCACATGTAAGTGTCTGGCCATTTGCTGCCTCTTCCAGTTGCAGGTGGATTGCTGCAGTTCCTACTGTGTTAATAGGAAACTTACCTGTCCAATTAGGTAAACAGAATTTGGGAGTAAAATTAAACCACACAGATGTAGAAGTGGGAAAGTCTTAAAAATTTGAAAGTGTAGGGGTTTGGGAACTTTTTGAGTATAGAAAAAAATTATATACTGTTATAGTACAAGACAACTGGTGGAATCAGGAAAGGGTCCTCACCTAACAATTTTTATTTAATCATTCTTTATATACCATGTATTTCCTAATGGAATTTATGTTGGTAGGTTGGTTTGGCTCTTCCAAAGTTCCATTATGATCCATCCGATGTTTTACATTAATTTGTCAAGCTTATGTATACAGAAAAAATTGCAACCCCAAGTTTTATCATTTCTTAGACAAAGTAGTGCACCAGTCCTGTACTTTCCCACCATCTCTTTGCGTTTCTTGTTCTAGCAGAGCATTGAGACTGCATCGTCACACTGAGTATGCACACCTCTGAGGAGGGCAGGAAATACTGATCTTTCAGAGCTTGAGTTTCATCAAGCCCTGATTGATTGAACAAAAACATTTGTTGAATGCCCACAGAATGTAGATACTCTGCATTGGGGACCCTTGATTCGTGAAAAAGTATGTTGGGATGTTGTGACAGATATCAGTGTAAGTTGCAATGCACATGTGAAAAGGGCAACAACCCAGACTGCTGAGGAGGACTGCCAAGGAAGGCTTTCTATAGGTAGAAGTGACAGGAGCTGAGCTTGAGATTAGCTATACTTTGCAGAGCAAGTAAAAGAGAGCAGCCCGCATGCAGAGGCATAGGCCTGCAGAGGGTCAGTGTGTCTTGAGGGCCAGATGTGAGAGGCTGCAAGGAGGCTATAGACTGAGCAAGCTGGCCATTAGTGTTACTAAGTAGAAACAAAAAACCAGTTCAAAAATTTATTGTGGTAAGTCAGAGCTGTTCCAGCAAGATGCTACTGGAACTTGATAAGCCAATTCTGAAGTTCATCTAGAAGGACAAATGTTCATGAACAGAATACCAAGACATTTTGAAAAAGAAAATAGCTATCCACCAGGAATGGTGGACTATGCCTATAATCTTAGCAGCTCAGGAGGTTGAGACAGGAAGATTGCAAGTTCAGAGCCAGCCTCAGCAACTTTGTAAGGCCCTCAGCAATTTAGCAAGACCCTGTCTCTAAATAAAATGCAGAAAGGGGCTTTGGATGTGGCTCGGTTATTAAGTGCCCCTGGGTTCAATCCCCAGTACCAAAAAAAAAAAAGCGGTCAGAGCTGTAATCCTTTTGTAATCTTGATGTGTTGCTGGGCAGGATAAATAAATAGATTGATGAGATACAGTGGAAAGACAGGGAGTACATATAGAAGCAGGTATCAGACAGTGGTCAGTGTGGTCATTGTGAACATGATGAATCATATCTCTGATGGATGCTAG